CCTAAATATCGTCCGGCGCAGTTGATGTATAACCTTTTTGAATCCCATAATTTTTCTTTCCTTACCTGTGATTTCTGGCGCAATTGACATACACCCTAATAGTAATTACTAAAATGTTCAAAAGACTCTGGCGTCCATGTATTTCCCCTTAAAATCTTAGATCATATATTATAGATGGTGCCATCCACACCCATAAGCGACGAGAGTCACTATACAATATGGAATGTATAGTTTCTAAAACAATCGAATCATTCAAAATTCAAAACTTTATTTTTCCGCCTGAAATTGTTTTCTTTGATACCCATTTAAAATAATTGATGTACCTATCGATTATATAGTATTAAATATACTGTTCTACTGTTCTCGTATACAATTTAAATTTGTACAATATAGGTACTCAACAATAATATTTTTATAGATAGTATTGTATAATATTTCTAATTTTTAATCAAAATATTAAATAACCAACAATTTGCATTTTATAATGTTTAGGTAATGTGTCATATGATATTTCATTAAAAAATAATTCTGCTGAAAATTATCATTCGAATGAGGCTTGCGATGAATATTGGGAGCATCAAGAGCAAGTATTCAACGGACTTCAAGAAGAAAACACCATTGAAGATATAAATAGTATAGAAAAACATGTAAGGTTAGTAAATCGTCACTTTTACTTGATCGATGGCTTAGTTAATGTATTTACTGGTATTGTAATTTATATAACACGCACTGAACAGCAAGCAGTTAGCACCTATTTAGTTATTTTAAGTACCTAATTAAGTACCTATACAAAACAAATAAGCTTTATATCAACTAATTCAGTATGTAGTTTATTATTACCTATACATTTTCAAGAAATAATATTAAAATTACTGCGTTCAGTGTATGCCTATAAAGGTACCCAGGTACTTATATTGCTTACAACGTTTATTCTTGCCTTATAATTTTAACCACATTATTTAAAACTAATATTTAATATTATTCTATTGCTCTGCCAAGAAAACAGAAAAATGTTAGTTTTTCCTCCGCTAAAGCATATTTAGATTTCCAGAATAATCTGATAATGTTTATGCAAATTATGTGGATAGTATAATATGAGATATGGATAATGATAAGATGAATTTATTTTATTTTATGAGTTATGTTCCTACAACCAATGTAACGTATAATAAAGCTCTACTTTTAAGTGATTTACAATAAATTGCTAAGCATGAATATTATTTATTAGAATATTTATTATATTTTGCGCGATAAATACGCTTGATATAAATTAATAATCAAATAAAAATATAGTTATAATAATGTAATAAATAATATACAAAATACGGCTTTCGAGTTTTATCATAGTATAAGTACCGATTAAATTTATAAATCATTATAAATCTTTCCCAACAATTTTTATAATATTATCATATATTAATTTGATAATGATTACCATAATTAAAACATTTTTATAAAAGAAACCTATATAGTATTGTATAATGTGTTTTGTATTGTTTAATTAATCTCAAAAATACGTATTTGTAACGCCGTAACGGTTAAGTAACTAATATCACCAAAAAGATATAAGTACCTATATACAATGTATTCAAATATTTTAGATGTACGATTGGAAGGTGTAAATTTAGATTTGCCACAGAAAAGAACTTGCTGTATCATAGAAAATTCCATTTGGAGGACACATTTAAATGCATAGAATTCGAATGCCAGTATACCAATTCAAAGTGGTTATCCATGATGACACATTTGTGGAAAAGTCATGCTATAGACATAGGAATGTACGGTTGCAACCAATGCGGTTTCAAGACAAATAGGTATAATATTGACTAATTATGTATGCTTAAACAAATATTTTTAAGTGTTGTATAAACGAAAATAAAAATCTAAAACTTTACGAAGAAAAAAAAATATATTAATATTATAATATAATGCCAATTTAAAACCTCAAATCATAGAATATAATTAATGGGGAGGGGAGAGAGTTAACAAACAATACCATAATACTTAATTAGTTAGGTACATATCTCTGAACGAAAAATATAATTATTATTTTTATAACGTTCTCTATAGCGATAATCAATGGTTTCTTTGTTCGCAAGTTTGTTTTTTTCTTTGTTAACCTGACGATATAAGGAATCTCTTAAATACTTATTTTAAAAATTAATACACTGATTGTATTTTAAATAATAAAAACAATTTTTTTAATGAATTGAAACGTTAATGTGCTATTTTTTTTTAAAAGAATTAAAAAATAAATCAATAGTGTTCTACCTATACCTAAATTGTACATCGTGTCTCATACATTATTTTATTATTATATTACAACTTTTTTGGCGATTATTTCATTATATTAATTCCATGCACTTATAATATATGCCTAATATAATATGTATTATGTGTAATGTATTCAGAATGTTAATATAGTGCTGTTGTCACCAAAAACATAATTACTAAATTATTGAAATCCATGCATTTTCAGCCTGTACAAATTAAACACTTTTCATGCAAAAATTCACGAACAAGATAAACCGTATTTGTGTCCGGAGTGTAAGAAAGGATTCAAAACGATCAAACAGCTCAGAAATCACAAGGTAAAAGTATATCCAAATTTATAACAAAACATGTATTCCCAGTTCCCATACTCGTCAGTATTCATATATTCCTCCATTTATTATTATCAACTAAAATGGTGTGGTTATAAAAAATTGAAAAAGATTGGAAATTATTAATCAGTATATTACATAAAGATAAACGTCGTAAATTTTAACCTCTGTGATCTCTTCCTGCTTGTATAAAAACGCTTTTGCAAAGGTATTTTA